ATGGCTGAGTAGTATGTCTTTCATTTCTTTGAGCAGTTTTGTAGTTTTCAGTGTACAAGTATTTTTACCTCGTTGGTTAAGTTTATTCCTAAATATTTTATTCTTTTTGATGCTATTGTAAATGGAATTGTTTTCTTAATTTTCTTTTTGGATAGCTAATTGTTAGTATATAGAAATGCAACTAATTTTTGTGTGTTGATTTTGTATCCTGCAACTTTTCTGAATTCATTTATTAGTTCTAACAGGTTTTTTTTGGTGGAATCTTTAGGATTTTTTACATATAAGATCATGTCTGCAAACAGGTAATTTTGCTTCTTTAGTAGAGCTAGATTTTTAACTCTGATTCTATTTATATGTTCCAAGGGTTTTTCATTCTCTTTTAACCTTTTAGGGGTTAAATGGTATATGCTAGATTCCTAAAGTCATTCTGTGGATATCTCAGTTCTGTGAGCCTTTGGTTAAGTTGCTTTTGCATTGCTTGATATATTTGGTGAAATTAGTTATTGCTTTGTTTCTAAAGCTGCTTTGACATGTGTATTAAGTTCACCAATAATTATTAAGGAGCTGTTAGGTATGAGGGTTTTTATGGCCTACTTAGTCAACCCATTCTCCTACCCTCCATCGCTCTTCAGTTAGTAAAGAAATGGTCTGATGAACAATGGCAGTAATAATCATCATACCTTATTATTTTTTAAAGTACCTTTGCGTATATTAACTTCTAACTCATGAATTCTCTTTGATTAAAAAGTGCTCTGGGGAGCTGAAACTGTGAAAACTTCTCCCTTAATGGTCATTGTTTCTGTCAAGGTATCATCTAGCATCATTGTCTTTTCATTTTATTGTTAATCCCTTTATTATCTTTTATGCCTTATATTTGTTTAATACTTACAGTTTATAAAATACCGTCATTTTTTATTTTGTTTTATCCTTATAGAGTCCTGTGTGGTAACCAGAGTAGGTAGGTGTTATTATCCCACCAATTTACACATTAGGAAAGTGGAGATTAAAAGAAATGGTCTCACTCAAAGACACACAGCTGCAAGAGAGAGTGCTGAAATAAGAACCCAGTTCTTCAGCTTATTAACCCAGTGTTCTTTCTGTATACCACACTGCTACCATTAATTCATTTAGCTCTTCAATTATTTATTTACTCAACAACTATGTATTGAGTGCCTCATACACATCTGTTGTGCATGTGTTAGGTGATTGACTTATCAGGATTTATAAAGTCACTTTTTTGCAAGTTTTGCCCTATTACTAGCTACCCTCAGCAATTACCTGATGTTCTCTGTTAATCTATTTTTGTTCACAATCATAAATCAAGATTCCAGGCCTCCTGTCTGTTTCCTTTCCTCCTCTAAATCTTTGATTCCAACAGGAGGTTGGCTTTCCTTACCAGTAAAACCTACCTGAGATGGATATTTTGGAGTGTGCGAGAGTGACAGATTTGGACACCTGTTCCAGCATTAGTTGGCTCTGGACCACGCAGAACTAGAACCCAGAAAGTCAGAAACACGCTGTTGGGTTCTCATCTCTGCTTCTTCACAAGACTGCTTCATTGTCCCACTTCCTTCTGCAGTCTGGTGAAGAGAATGTCTAATGTAAAGCCTCTAAGACAGGAGAAGGTGCTAGGCATGTTGCGGAACCCAGAAACAGCCCAGGATAAAGAAAGGATGTCACCTGTTCCAAATAGTGCCTGGCACATACAGACATGTGCCTTGGATGGACAGACTCCATGATCTCTGCTCTCTGTAGCTCCTCAGATTCTTTCACTCACTGAGACCTGCCCTCAGTTTGGAGAGTAATAAGGACTGATTCCTGCTGCTACCAGTAGGTCATAATGAAAGGAGCAGGGGCAGGAGTGAGAGATCTTCCTAGCCCTGAGCCTCTTCTCATCAAACATACATGAACTGAATGCATGTCCTTGTCCAGAAATCTCATGTGCTTTGGTTTATTTCTATGCTATATCTATTCAGTACCGTGACAGTTTTCATCCCAGTGTCTGCAAATTGTTAAGTCATTTTTGTTCGGCATAATTAGAACAAGAGGAAACTGTGTGTTGCAAATGGAAATGGACTATGAAGCAGTTGGTAGACACAAATAGAGGCTTTTATAGTGAAGCTCTGGGTAATCTTTTCATGAACCTGTGGTCTGTGCCTTGCTGGCCTCTTTCACTTACCATGTGCCATCATAGGTCTTTCTGAATCACATTATCTTAGGAGGAAGCATCTGCGTTGGGGATCAGGCTGCCCACTTAATATAGTGAAGTTTAGCTATATTTGGTCCAGAATATAATTTTCTTCCCTTGATGTGGCTACTATAATTACTGTTTGCTGTACTATGTATCTAAGAATAGAAATGGGAATGTCATCCCTTGGCTGCAGTGCTGGCTCTGTTCCACTGTCCAGAGAACTTCTGGTGCCTATCTTAGAGGTTGCCAAGCCTGGGCCCATTCTGCTGGAGCACAGAGAATTGTCCAGTATAGTCTGCTTAAAAGCCTTCAGTGATCCCCTTTCTTCTATGGAATAAAGTCTGAGTTCCTTTGAGACTCTTCACTGTCTGTCCAACTTCCCAGCATCATCTCTCACCAGTCCTCCCCCTACACCATTCATTAAAAGAGCTACTATGTGCGAAGCTCTGCTCTAGTCATTGCAGGTACTCTAGTGAACAAAACAGGTAAAATATCTTCAAGGCACTTACTTTCTAATGGGGGCCACAGACAATGAGTTGGTAAGTAAATACACAATAGTACTAATACGTTGAGTAGTGGTAAGTGCTATGAAGAAAAATTAATTTGGTTATGAGAGATAGGGAGTACTAGAATGGGGAGAAGAGGGTAGGTGACTTGCCTGTCTAGATAGGATGTAAGGGCAGGTCTTTCTCATAAAGTGTCATTTGAGTGGATATTTGAAGGCAATGAGAAAGCAAGCTACTCAGAAAAGTGGTGAGAGAGCATTTCAACAAATACAATAGGTAGATATTAGGAGTGAGCTTGGCATGTTTAAGGAGCAGTGAGGAGGCCAGCGTAGCTGGAGGAAGTGAATGAGTTAGAGGAAACCAGGGCCTTATGGGAGAATATGAGGACTTCAGCTTTCACTTAGAATGTGATGGATGTCATTAGAGGTTTTGACTAAAAGGATGACATGATCTGACTTATCTTTTAAGAGAATTATTCTGGCTACTTTGTGGAAATTAGATAGTCAGGTCAAGGTGAAAGTAGCAAGCTAGTTAATAGACAATGGTAATAATCCATGTGAGAGATGATGGTACCTTGAACTAGAATGATAGTAGTGGAGGTTCTGAGAAGGGAGTTGAGGTATGGATATATTCTGAAGGTAGAGCTGACAGAGTTTGTTGAGTGATTGGATGTGAGGTGGAAAAGAGACCAGCTGAAGATGACTGCAAGGTTTTGGACTAACTGAATTAAGAGAAGGAATGCAGAAGTAAATATGGGAGTAGAGAGCAATCAACTTTAGTCTGAGTTACTATCTATGCAAATGGGAGAGAAAGCTGGAGAGGGGAGCAGGGAGTGTTTGCCAGGGGCAGGGCATCGGAGTTGAGCCACCTATCAGATATCCACATGGATGTGTAGAGGAAGCAGTTGGATGTGTAGTTTGGAGTGAGAGATACACATTTGGGAGTCATCTACACGTAGATGGGATTTAAGTTCATATATGCGATTACATGGAGAGTAAATACAGGGAAGAGAAGGAGTTTGAGGACTTCAGCCCCAGAGTGTTTCAACTTTTAGAGGTTATGGAGATGAAGATGAACTTTCATTTTATATTTTACCTTTCATCTCATTACTTTCATCAGAGAATGTGGTGGAAGTTAAGTGAGGAATGTGTTCTAAGGCAGATGGACTGTGTCAAGTGCAACTAATGATCAAGTAAATGAGGCCCAAGAACTGACCATGAATTTGGCCATATGGAGGTCACTGGCAACTCTGACAAGAGCTGTTTTAGTAGAGTGGTAGGGTGACAACCTGGTTGAAATTGTTTAAGAGGGTTGTTTTTTAATGGGAACTATTGTAGCATATTTGTTTATTGTTGGGAATGAGCCAGTAAAAAAGGAAAAATTGATGCAGAAGAGAGTACAATTTTGGGGCTGATGTCTTTGAATAGGAGAGAAGGGATGGGATCCAGTGGCAGATAAATAAGCCCCACAAGATCTTTCATGCATTTGCCTCCTTCTATCTTCGCTCTGGCTGCAAGGCCCTCACTTCCCTTCGTCCATCGGCACTACCACCACCACTCCACCTGCCAAAAACCATGTTCATCCTTCAAAAGTGCAACACATTACGTATCCTTCATGAGGCCATCCTCAAATTCCTCAGACATTATTGATTTCTTTCCCTTGTGTGTCCATGGCATGTTTTTTATAGTTTTCTTACGTCACTTCCATGGGCTGCCTAGTATCTTAACTAGCCTTTCTCCTTGATGAATTTGCTCCTTCAAGACTCCTGATCCCTGATTTCTAATGTAATTTAGCTATTATAAAAGACAAGTTAGTTAATAGATATTCCTGGCTCATAGAAGGTACTCAAGAAATATTTGTTGAGTGAATATACTGTATGGTTACAAGGAGTTACTCTTTCCCTTGTTTGATGAGATTGGCTCAGGTTTGGAGGAATGGTGCCAGTCACCAGTACTGAGGTCCTGAGTGTGTTTACTCACATCTGCTAGTAGGCTTTGCACTAGTAGGCGCTCTCTATTTGTCTGACTTCTATTAAAAATCTGTGTGTTTTTCTTATCTCCTTAGCAATACTGTAAACTGTGGCTCTCTAATGTGCTTTGTAGGTAATAAAGTTCAGTAAATATTTGTGAGTTGATTAATAAAACTATTCCTTTTGGTCCTACCCTTTCCAAGCTATAATAAACTAGTACTTGCAGGCAAATTCTAGCCAGGAGTCACATTCTATCTTACTTTCCAAAAGTTTGCCCTAGTGAATCAGTTTGAGAATCAAATTATCTCTTGAGAATCCATCAATTTCTCAAGAATAAGAGAATTAATAACCAATGCTTTCTCAAGAATAATTCTTAATACTAAATAAAAAAGAATAAATGTTTGCTTGCTTGATATCTGGCTAAATCGGTACCTTCAGGAAATGCTAGGTTATTAGGTGCTGCCTAGGACTTAAAAGGACATCTAACTTGGGGCCTAGCTTGAGTCAAATCGAGGTTCTACCACTTGGGCAGGTCATTTTATCTCAGTCAACCTCTCTGAAGTTGTAATTTTCTTTCCTGAAAATACAGAGACAGTTATGCCCACTTAGTAGATTTGTTGTGAGGGTCATGAGGTATGTGTGCAAAATGTCTAACTCAGCATTGAGAAAATGAAGTACTCAGTAAATGTTAGCTGCTGTTATTCTCCCTTGTCAGTTATTGTTTTTCTCTCGTACAGGGTTGCTGCTGTCCTGTTTCAGAACCCTAGACAAAGTGGATGAGCTGGCTGCTGTAGCACATGACACATACCTTTCCTAGAGAGTGGTTTTGAGCCACGGCTTCTTCCCCCGCCCCTCTGTGAGCTCACATCCCTGGGTCATTACCCTTTAGCTTCCCTCCCCCCTAGAATGCAGTCAAGGGGCTAGAAGCTAGTTTCACCTCTGGCTTTCCATCTTCACCCACCCCAACTCCGAACTTCCGTCTTGAACTACAGCATATGAAGTAATTTTTGTTCTCTCTCTCAAGGTTAGATACACAGTGAAAATGAGGCCATTGGATTTTCTTTGTTCAGGTTGCAGAAGAGCTTTTATATCAAGATCGAGGTCTAGAAGGCCACCTGCCTAGTCCTCCTTGCTAGCTACGGTCCATGTTCCAGCATGCCACAGTTCTCTAGCAATTTGTTTTTCTCTTTCCTCTTCCTGAGCCTGCATCATTGAGAGAAAGCAAAGTGGAAACAATGCCAAACTCGGAGTTAGAAAGTACAATATTCTTGTCTTTGGTGTAGCTTAACTCACTTTACTTCTTTGAGTTGCAGTCTCCTTCTCTGTAAAATGCCTTTTGACCGTACCAGGTTATTGTCACAAGATATAGGATGCAGAAAGCTTGATAAGCTAAAGTGCTATTTGATTGTAAGGAGGTGTTATACTCTCCTTTCTGTTTGATTTATCCAGGCGGGGCCAGGCCTGGGGGAACTGGTGTCAAACTCTGTGTTTGCTTGTTTACTTTCCCAGGACTCCGTCCTACCTAAGGGGCAGAAACTGGTGAGCCTGCCAGCCCATACAGCCTGTGACTGGCTTCCATGCTCCTGCCATCCAGGAAATTGCAACATCACAAGCCAAACCATTGGTTTGCCAGCTCTCAGCTCCTCTCAGCCATGGGTCCTGCATCTTGGTCATGAGGGCTGGGAAGCTTCTCTCTCTACTCCATCAGAGATTCCAAGAGAGAATTTTGGTTTAATCTTCTCTCAAAATGTTGACTCATCTTCTGTAGAAACTTGGCTAGACTGTCAGAACATTCTGGAGGTCTCTGAAATGAGAAAATAATACGATGCTTCTAGCAACCAGAGTGCCTACCATGTGTCAGGCACTATGGTTAGTACTTGCCATGTTTAATCCTCATAGCGTCCTTTGAAGTAGGTACTTATTATTGGTAATTTACTAAAGGTTTACTGAGGTTCAAAAAAATTAAGTCCCTTGTTCTAAATCACATAATAAGTGGCAGAGTTGGGATTTGAACTCAATTCTGTCTTATTCCAAAATTGTTGTTCTGACCACTGCACCATGAGGCCTCCTGTCACTATACAGGAAAAGGACCGTGTGCTACAGAAGAAAACTCACGAGGTTTCCGGTCGTATGGTCTACATGCAGATCCCAGCCCTGCCTTGTGTGATCTGGGGCAAGTGGCTTTCAGCCTCTCCACCTGCAGATGCTGTCTCGTTAAATCTTCACCACAGCCCTGGGACGTAGGTGCTCTTCTTATCTCTGTTTTACATTTGAGGAGACTAGGCCTCAGTGAGGTGAAATGACTTGCCCAAGGTTACAGAAGAGTAATGGTAAGTGGCAGAACCAAACTCAAGTCTGGGTCTAACACCTGATTCCACGTGTTGTTTCTCAAAGCCAGTTGCTAAGGCCTCGTCTATCCGACAGACTTACAGCTCTCAGGATGCTGGTTGGAAGCCCATAGGAGGAGCAGGAGCCTTGCCCTCTTCTGCTCTTTCCTCGCCCATAATCTCTCCTTAGAAACCTTTCTGAGGCAATATACACATTTACAATTCAAAGAAAAGGTTTGTGCAATACTTAAAAACTGCTCTGAGCACCGTACAGAATGCAGAAGCCTGGGAATGTGTGTCTCTTCCTTTGTGTGTGTCTTTGCTGTGAATTTGGCAGCATGGTGTGGGGGGTATAGGGTTGAGAAAGTTCTTTCTGAGCTTTTTTATTTATCAGTATGCTCTTGTAAGGTTGTTGCGAAAGTTAGAGATGATAAACATTCAAGGGCAGCAGGTGGGGCCTTATTCATTGATAGCAGTTATTCTCCTGGCAGCTAATGGAAACCAGACTGGGAGGCAGAAATCCTCAATCTATTTACTCTCTATTCTATGACTGTCTTATCCTTGGATACATGAGGTACTATCTCTAGACAGACTAGGTGATCTCTGATCTCTGAGGACTCCTTCAGCTTTAATATCCTGTGCTTTTTAAAAATGAAAGTAATAAATGCTTGTTTAAAAAAAATGAAAAAGGACAGAGAAAGACCCCAGCTCCTCTGTTTTTAGTTCATTCCTGAGGTAACACTTGCTGCCTGCTTGTGTACTTCCCATGTTTTCTGCGTAAATATGTCCAAGTATATATATTAAATGTATATTACTTAATACACTAAATAATTTATACATGCTTATATAATATATATGGTGTGCATGTATATATGTGTATAAACATACATATATATATGTTATTCACCCTGGAACCTAGACTATATACTGCATTATGACTTAATCCCTTTTCACTTGTTTTGAGCATTTTTTCTTATTAGTAAAGATATAATTTACTTTTTTAAAGCAAATATACACATACAGTGTTGAAGGTTTTTTTTCTCCCCCCAGGAAAAGAAGAAAAAGAAACATAGAGACAGAAAGTCATCTGACTCTGACAGCTCAGACTCTGAGAGTGATACAGGCAAGAAAGCAAGACATACATCAAAAGACAGCAAGGCAGCAAAGAAGAAGAAAAAGAAGAAGAAACACAAGAAGAAGCACAAGGAGTGAGAGTGGAAAGAATAGAGGGGGTGGTTGAGAGAAGGAACCAGGAGCCTTGTACCTTGAAACCCTGGTTCCTCGAAAGACTCCAAAGTGAGAATATGGCCTCCCACCCCATGACTTCTCTCCCATGGTAGACAGCTTCCCCTCATGCCGCAGGCAGGTTTGGGAGTTAGATATCAAAGGCATCTGTCTGAATGAGTTGTTCCCTTACCACTCCTGGTCCCTTTGCAAATGACCCCTGCAGCTCACCCATTCATTCACCCAACTTCCTTCATTCAGCAGCAGGTCCTATTACCTTCTCCAGCTGCCACTGCCAGAGCCAGATTCCTGTACGGAGTCCAGGCTACAGCCACAGGCACTGCTGTGGAGGGGGGTCTGGCTGTAGTTGGAGAACAGTGATTGGCCCCTCCCTGTTGGTCTGCCCTGGGCTGATTGGTGGGTCTGCTGCATCCAACACAGGGGCAGAGGGAGAACATGGTGAGAAGTGGTGCTCACTTTTTCCATTTCCCCTAACATGATTCTACTATGTTAGAAGTGACAGCCAGTGGTCACAGCCAGAAAACCATTGTTTGCAGTGACTGAGCTTGTGTGTGACATTCCTCCAGACCACTGAACCAGACAGCTCAAGCCAAGATCATTGCTTTGCTTTGTATTTACTACTGTGTGAGTCAGTTGGTTCCATTTCAAGTTTCTGCTTAAATTCCTGGCACTATATGGAAGTGTGTTTGGTTTTAAACGTACTGACAGTCTGTACTGGTATAATCTCTTTCTGTAACTTACGGACTTAAAAGTCACTGAGTCTGCATTAGTTGACAGAAAAACATTTAATATGTTACCTTAGATCTTGGAGAGAGGCCCAGCTAAGGTACAGAGCCAGAGTACTAGCAGGTCACAGCCTTCTAGGGGGAACACTTATAAGCCCTCGCTTCTGTAATGATCAGATGACCTCTTCCCCAGGGCTTGGAGAACCAGTAAGAATTTGTATGAGTAATGGCCTGGCGCATAGGTGGAAGCTCAGCTTCTTGGCCAGTGGAAATTTTCTCCCACCACCACTGGCACAAGCCTGGATCCTGTGTCCTGAGCCTGCGTTCTGGAAAGAGAGATCACAGCATTCCGGAAGAGCAGCTGTCCAGACCTAAGGGCGTTCAGTGCAGGGTGGGCCTGGGGTGACAGTTCAGAAGCTCCACCACCGAGTGATTATTCCAGGCTAGACTAGCTCATTTGGCCACAGGGAGGGGGCAGTGAAAGGCATGGTGTAGGTACAGCTGTTTTATTTTTTGTAGGTATAAGGTGATCAGCTGTCACTGTCCCTGAGACTGTCCATTTCAGTCTCTTGTCCAGTGCTTCTTCCTGAGTGGCAGTCATTTCTGCCCACTCTGACACACATGGAAACTGAGACTCCCAAAGTCATGTCACCAAAGGCAAAAAGGCAACTGGGTGGCCTTGGCTGTGCTTTATTGACCTCAGAGCACCCTTTGGATGCAGTTTAAAAAGCAAGCATACACAATGAGAACTGGAACTGGATCCAGGCTGGTGCCACCTGACCCCAGAAGAACTTCCCCAATCAGTGCATTTGTACAAAATGCCAGAAGGAAAAATGAGGCAATCTGGTACGGAGTCCAGGAGCAGCCAGTTGGCAGAGGAGCAGGTGGTGAAGGAATGGGCAGGTCATGCCTCTTTCTCATAAGTGCGAGTGCTAACTACACTGCCGTGGGTGAGCGTCTGGAAGAAAAGACAGAGTCAGGTTAGGGCAGGGGTGAGGGCACGGAAGGTATTGGGAGCACTCTCCGTTCCGATGGGGTGAGCCCTCTGCCTTCATGCTAATCATCTTCATTTACTGACTCCCCACTACGTGCCATGTATCTTTTCCTAATGCTTACGCCAAGTCTTTAAGTTAGGTATTATAATTCCTCTTTTCAATATTTGGGAAAATTTAGCTTTGAGGGAGGAAGTAACTTGGTCAAGATCCCAGAGTGTTTCTTTCCTTTGTACCATTCCTCTCCCTTCATCCTTAGTGCCTAAAATTGTGCCTGGCACATAGTAAACAAAAAGATAAATAAAAATGTCCAGAGACTCTTAGGGAAGGACAGTACTAGGCCACCAACTCTCTCCACCCCTTCCCCTAACTTACAGGAGGACCAGGGCCAGAGGCCCAAACTCTCATCATCCAGCCCAGCATCACCCATGGTTTCACCATAGCCTGATTGCCCAGTATCTATTCCTGCCTGTCACATTCCCACCAGAGCTGGGTACCTCACTGTTAACTCCGCAGGGTCTCCTGTCCCGTGTGAGTACAAGAAATGCAGTGAGCAGGTTACACTGACCCGAGAGGGTCTGCAGTGAAGGTGCTGAGGCAGAACCCCGAGGCCGTTCAGAGTTAGGAGGCAGAGAACATGGGTGGCTGCTGTCTCTGCCTCTGGGCCTGGAGGTGTTCCGTCAAGACTGCATTCTTTGAGTGAGATCCTCAAGTTTGTCCCTAAACAGACAGATCTCCCAGCCTGGTTGTCACTTCCAACCCAGGCCATAGTCAGCTACTTGTAATAAGCCAGGCATGGAAAGCACAGAGGAGGTGAGCCTGGAATAAAATTTAAAGGACTGTGCTGTCAGTCGGCCCCACCCATCACCAGCCTGTCCCCTGCCCAAAGGCTTAGGAAATGGGAGCCTCTCCTGCGGGCCTGGGATCAGATTTGGCCCTGCTTTCTTCCTCTCGCTGGGGTGAGGCAAGGTGCCAACACAGAGGATGAAACTAAGGCTGTGGAACACCTACTGTAGTCCTGCCACACCAGTGATGCTTTGTGCTCTCCAGCCACTGTCTCCTTCAGATTTCCCTGCAGCCCCACAAGGTTGGTGTTTTAATACCCACTTTACAGTTGGACTTGAAGAAAGTGACTTCTCCAAAGTTATGCAGCCTGTAAGCTGAAATTTAAACCTAGGCTTGTGTAAGTCCAAAGCCACTTCATAGAAAATTCCTACCTAATACCACCAGGCCCTGCCTCTAACCCTCCACTGCTCCAGCTTCCATGGTCCCAGGGGATGACCTTGGGTTTTCGCAATAGGCTTGGCTGAAGAGGTAGTAGTAACCAACTGGGTAAGGTTCCAAAGTTGTCCATCTTACCAGGATGAGTTTCCCATCAACGAGTTCCCGCACAAGTGTTGACTCTTGTCCATTCCACTTCTGCAGGTGGACAAGTTTGCCTCCATCCAGCGTCACAGTGGACTGTGGAAAGAGGGTAGAGGCCTGAGCTGTGATCTAAGCTAGGACTGAGGGATAGGAAGGAGTCTGGTCCTTGGGGCCACAGAGGACTCAGCCTCTAACCAGAAAGAACCACTGATGGTGTGAGGGCCAGCTCCGGCAGCCCACCTCCAGCCTAGCCCCGCAGGATGTCTGGTTCACCACGGCTGCCTGGCCCAGGGAGGGGCCTTCAGCTGCTGGGCGAGTAGGGGGAGAGAGGCATATAGTGGAGTCAGACATCCTGGCTCTGAGAAGCACCACCAGCCTTCAGGATGGGCACTTATCCCACACTCTAGGTGATGCCCACAGCCCCAGTCCCACCAAGATACAGGGGGCGTGCACCAGCCTAACCCCTGGGAAAGACTGTTGAGGAGGAGGAGTCCTGAGAGTCTCCAGCCTAGTGCTGATCATATGTAATGTCTGAAAGACCCTTGGGGATGGAAGGTATTAGGAAATTAGACTCTATCCTGTATTCCTACTCCTATTAGTCCCCATCATGTGACCCCTTCAGCTGACAAGTGGGCAGCAACTGACAGACTCGGACTGGGTGCCCTCGGAGTTTTCCGCAGCCCTAGTCAAATGTCCACTTACTTTTCTGGGTGCTGCCAGCCTGCATCAGCTGGTCCTCATATGGCAGCTCTCCCTGGTCTCTCTTCTCTAGAAGTTTGGGGGCTCTAAGCCAGGCTAGGGAATCCTGACTGAGCAGGGTTCAGTAGGAGAATCAGAATCTGTGTAAGTGTTCAGGGCTGGTGGGGTGGGCTGTGCATCCTTACCACCACCTTCCTCCTCATTCCCACCACCTTCCTCCTCATTCCCATTCCCCTACTTTTTTGTCCATTCAGAGCAGGTTATTTTAGCCTAGGCATCCCAGAGAACTACTGCTGGGTTTAACTGGGCTTCTTGTCAGGTAGGTGAGCTCAAGGAGGTGAAGGTGTGTGGTAGGGCAGGCACCTCTCTCCAAGGTAGGCTGCCATCTTTGGGTATCATCCCGTCTCTGCTGCCAGCTTCCTGTGTGAGCCTGGGCTGGGCTCCAGCTTCCTCCACAAGGAGGAGACTAGACCCTCTCCTGTCCTTGGGGGCAGCTGTGAGGAAGAGGAAACAGCTAAGGAGCTGAATGATGTCTCGTGGGAGGATACTGCTATAGGGACACCCTGTTGAGGGCAAAATCCCTTAGTTCTCTCTCGTCCATGCCTGGCCCAGGGGCTGGGAGGCCTGAGGCAGGCTGCCAAGATAGCCACCACAGGGTGACAAGCCCTGAGACTGGGAGTGGATGTCCCCTCTCTCCCTAGAAGGAGGGAGGGGCTAAGGCTTGGCAAGAAGACACTACAAACACACCTAAGACAATTCTCCATCCAGAACATAGCTTTTCCTGCCTGTAGGCTGGCAGCATTGGAAATAGTTCCTCAGGGTCGCTGGCCAAGCCCAGGAAGTGAGGTTGGAGAAGAGGAAGCATCTGAGTGGGTCTCAACCTCTTGCCCCTACATGCCTCCTTTGCTGCTGGAAGCCAGGATGACCTGTTCAGTGGAAGACCCTGACTTCTGGGCATTGTTCCTAAAGCACTTGAGGTCACAGCCATGTCCACATAACTCCCCCCATGTATGGAAGGGGAGAGAAAGCCAGAGCTGTTTCATGCCATGCTCAAGGTCACCCAGCTGGAGCTGAAGTAGACGCTGAGGTCAGGACATCCTGGCTCTGTGCTGCCGGCTCCTGGAGGCAACAGATGCTTCGCAAGAAGGGAGGGAGGAAAACAAGAGGACAAGACTACTGCATTTAGCGCCTGGGACATCCAGCACGGCATAGGTTTCGTGGACTCCCCCACAATAGCCTACCCCTCAAGGTGCCATAATAGGGCGCCATCCTGTTCCCTTTCAGGGCCTTCCCTTCCCCATGACCCCCTCCTTGACTCACCTTGACCTTCCTGTCATCTGCTGTTGTCTCATCGAACTCCACTCCCAGCTTGAAGCTGATCGCTGTGTTCTTAAAGGTGCTTTGCGTTTTTACGGTGATTGTGTCCCCATTCACTTCAATGATTGTGGTAGGCTTAGTCATATTGCCCACCTGCCTGGTAGCAAAACCCACACCTGAGGGCAGAGGGCAGGTTATGAGTAAGAGCTGGAGCAGAGAGGCAGGGTGCAAGGAGCTCAGTGAACAACTCTCAAGCCTGGATGTGGGGAAGGGGGAAGAGGAGGGCAAGAACTTTCAAAGATTTTGCGTGGCCATTTTAAAATTCAGTCTTCCTGTTAGTTCTGTGAGGTGAAGAGACTGCTGACCGCATTAGACAGATGAGAAACTTAAGGGACAGGCATGCCTCACAGAAAGTGGCAGAGCTGAGATCAAAATAAGCCACTATTAAGTGCTTTCTGTGTGGCAAAAACTGCACGTGTAATCTTCAGTCCTTCCAGTCTCCCTGAAGGACCGATGATGTTATTATCTCTGCAGGTGCAAAAACTGACAGTGGTTGAGGCCCAGGGTCACAAATCTGGAATTCAAACCCAGGGTGTCTGAGTGCAGAGCTCACTTAACTGCTCAGCTGTACTGCCTCCCAAGACGAGCACAAGGCTCCCTTCCAGGGCACCTGAGCAGCTCTCAAGGCACAGGCTGAGGGAGAAAGTAGATTAATGTGGACTTTGCCTTCCAGGCTTTATGGACAAGAATTTCCCACCTTTGGAAGTTTTACCCTGAGACACTGGTGCTCTTTCCCCCATATATGGTAACAAAGATATTTTCAAAGCCTCTTCTCCATGATGTAGGAGATGGGCAGAGGGGAGTGTTCGTCTCAGTGTACAGCCCTCGGAGAGGCCTAAAGTAGTAGGCAGTCAGACTCCAGTCCAGGCCTCCTGGCCCCTGGTCTCAGGCCCTGTGGGGACCCCTCGGGACCCAAGCATGGCTTCCCTGGGTGCTGGGCAAAGATCTGAGTGCTGCGAGAGGGTGCAGAACAAAGAGCCCTACAGGTCGTGGCTTCCCTGAGATCTGTCCTTTTACCTCCAACCTCCCCTCTGCTCCCAGCAGCCTCTACTGAGCTGTCCTCCAAGGGCAGAGGCTGTGATGAGGTGGTGGGTGGTAAGTCCTCAAACGTGCCTGGCTACGTGGGTTGTTTTATTTAATGCTTATAACAGCCCTGAAAGATGAGCTTTATTATTCCCAATTAAGAAATGATGCTTAGAGAGTGAAGTGACTTGCCCAAAGTCAAAGAGTAAGTAGCTGACCTAGACGTGAATTTAAGCTCTAAAACTGTTCACTGTTCCTCCTGGGCCATTCTGCCTCCCAGCATGTACTTCATCCAGGCCCTACGGCCACCAAGTGTGCCTGAGATGACTGGTACTCACTAGGCTGAGCGTCTTTGTCCCCTGAGAACTCTTGGTCTAAAACAAGAGGGGCATAGGCAGCCTCTGCAGCTGTGCAGCTGCTGGCCTACCTTCCTGGCCACTGAGGGCCTTGGCCTTGTCCCCCTGCTATCAGAGTGAGTCAGGCCAATCCCATTCCCAGCACAGAGCAGGGCCTTGTCGCTGCACAAGGAGCTCTGTTTACTTAGGACCTACCTAGAGGTGTGGAGTATTTGAGGAAGGAAAGCACTGTGGAGTAGGTGAGGGACTGAGCTAAGAGAAACTTACAGAATTAGGAGACTTGGGAAAAGCTGGGTTCTACTGAGAAGTGAAGCTGAAGCTATTTACTGAGAAAGCTGAGGAGGGTCTTTTCTCTCCCCTGGGCCCCTCATCTTTTCCGTCTGTACAACAAGCAGGCTGGATGGATTTTCAGCACCCTAGCCCAAGCTGGGGTAAAATAAAGGAGCAAGGGTGGTAAGGATGTTGCAACTCACTTCAGGGACCCGGGTCTTCTGTTCCAATGTCTGCTGGAAGAGGTTTGGGAGAGGAACTAGCTCTGGTCATTCCAACTTCCCCAACAGCTGCCCAGCAGGGCCCCCTGCTTCTCCAAGAATGACTTCCTTCCTGGAGTCATTGGGCATAGTGCCCAGCATAGAGTAGGGGCAGTTGAGTGCTTTGGTTTGGCCTCAAGAGCCAACACTTGTGGTCCTTATTTCAGGGGGCAAGAACAGAGTGGGGAGGTGCCTGGAGTGAACCAACCCTTCTTTTGGCATGTGCTGTCATCCTGCCCCCGTTCCCTGGGAGGAAGGCATGGTACCTAGCTCAATCATGAACAGCCATCCTGTTTTCCCTATCCCAGCTGGGGGAAGGCTAGGATAATCTCAAAGCTGGGGATTCCAGAGAAAGGATATCACCCTCTCTTGTCTAAACCCCTATCAGGAGGGGAAGGGCTGAGGTCAATCATTAGTTAAGCAGTTCTTACCATTCCCACCCCCAGGGCCCATAGTGGGATCTGCTCTGGGTTGCCAGTCTAGAAATCTAGGCTTTCATTCAGCTCTGCTGTGGAAGTGATATGACAAGTTTCTACTTTTTCTGGGTCTCAGCTTCTCCATCTGTCAAACCAGGTAAGGTATGGGGATCTCCAAAGTTCTCCTCTGCAAGATTCTTTGACTATTCATTCTTCCCCATCCCAGCACCACATCCTCCTTGACCAAAGACCCTCCCTGCCTTTGCCAGGTCTTGGTTCTGCTCCAGACCCCTTTGCTGCACCCCTCCACCAGACACCTACCCAATGAATGGTGATCCTCGGGTTGCAGCTGGTGATAGGGTCTCTTGCTCTACCCTACTACTAGGCTGAGTGATTAAAGCCTGGTTACACACCACTGCAGGACAGAGACTGGCTAGTGAGAAAGAGGGCACAGTCCAGTGAAAATCCTTTACCCTACTAACCCAACATAGAGGGGCAGGAGTTGGTGCTAACTGTGCAGGCCCCTGTCTCACTTCTCCTCATATCCCATTCATCGTTGTTCCCCCTTTATCTTCCACCTCCCGGGGATTCCCTACTTCTTTGGACCATTGGACATGCCTATCCACCCCATTCCCATTCCGTGCTCAGTCTCCAGTTCCTAAACCACCCAAGCTTCTGTTCTTTTCCTCCCCTAGCTAGCCTCCCACTTTCTGGGATCAGTGCTTTCTTTCCTTTTAACCAAACCCGCCCCCTACCTCCAGATCATATGCCCTTCTTCCTCGAAAGCTCCTCCCTTCCCCCACACCGACCGACACAGCTGCCTCCTTGCTCCTCCTTCCCTGGGAATCCCTCTAGCCAGGTTCAGACAATGATAGCCCCCTCCCAACAGGCTTCGCACGTCCTAGCCCTGGCTGCCACATTTTCCGCGTCCTGAGATTCCCCAACCTTGACCCGGAGGGATGCAGAGGCCTGCAGGTACTAGCCAGGGCTGGAGCCCTGCTCCACGCCGGGCTCGCGGCCAGCTCCCTTCAGCCCAGCATCCTCAGCCCAGCATCCTGAGCCGCCCTTACCTAGTGACTTCATGTAGTCATCGAAATTCTTGCTGTCCACTAGCTTCCAGGTGCCCACGAACGCGTCCACCATGGTGAGGCTAGGCTGAGAAAGAAGAGGCAACAGAGCAGGCGTGTAAGGACTCTGGGACCGGCGGCTCCCAGCGCGCGCTGCCGCTTTAAATGGCCCCTGTATCACGTGACGGGGCGTGGCCCACACCCCCGCTCCCGAAATAGGAAGCCCCAGGTTGGCGCTCACTCTCCAGGGGCTGACCGCCCATCCCCCAACCCGCCAAAGTGGGAAGGGGCAGCCAGTGGCGCCCAGCTCGCCTGCGTCAGCGCGGGTCCCCGGGCTCCGAGTCCCTGCCCCGGGCTGGCAGGACCTGCTCCCTTTCCTGACCTCAAGGCGCTCTTACGAATCTGAGAAGGAAGCAACTGGGGGCTCTGTGCCCGCGAGCTGGGGCGCACGCCGCGGACATCTTCCGCTCCTCCCCCGAGCCTGGGGTCGGAACAGAGATCAGAGACTAGAGGAGAAAGGAAACTCGCCCCTGGGCTGATGCCCAAGCTGGGAAAGCTCTGGCCGACTCTTCGCGGCGCAGGCATCGTGGTCTTCATTTAACAGGTGAGGAGTCCGAGGCTCAGAGGGGGACTGACAAGGTCACAGGAAATAAGGAGAGGGTGTGTTGGAATCCAGATCGCAAGCCTGGTCTAGCTGGCCCCAGACCCAATGATCTCCTGCCACCCCCCACTGCCCCGTGGCTGGGAGAGTCACCAGGGGCAGCGTGTGCCCTCGGCCTCCTCCGGGCAAAAGCGTGACCCTTCCGGTCGCGCGGCGCCTGCTCCCACACGTGCTCGCCCCTCCCCGCAGAATGCCTCCCGCGCGCGCCTTTCCGCCCGGCGGTCCAACTCCCCGCTCCATCCCTGCCAGTGCGCCAAGCTTTTCTGACCTCTGCGCACAGCTACGAGCGTTTCCTCCGGTCGGCGGTTCCCTCCTCACCCTACTTCAGAAATTCTGCCTTTCCAGCCAGCTCTTCAAGGCTCAAGGACACCTCCCCGTTATGCCTGACTGCTGAGGCCCCCACCTGCCGCCCTTTCTCCGACCTCTACACACCAGCAAGCAGCCGCACTTTCAGAGACCGGCAGTCACCTCCTATAAAGACCTTGTTTGACACTACAGTTTCTAAAGCACTGTTAATATGATCCACCTTGTATGGATGTTTATTGCATGCTGAGGGCTTTAAGTGCATTGTCTCACTGAACTTTTAAAACAAAGTCCATGAAATGGGTGTTATTATCCCTTTTACAGAGGAGCTAACTGAAGCTTAGAGGAACCCATTCATTTCTTAATCCAGCAGTTATGAAAGCACCTACTTTGTGCCAGGCCCTGGGCTAGGCTCTGGAGAGACAACCATGAACAAGACAAACTTACCGAGGAAGACACAAAACATAAGGGAGTGGTGCCCAACTAAACTTCAGCCAGCAGAGGTGTGCACAGGGTGGGGAAGCAGGAGCCAGCCCAGGGGCCCTGGGGTGCCGCCAGCTCTGCCACACACAGGTAATGTGGCAACCCTCCTTCCTGGACCTCTGTTTCTTCATGTGAAGTGGAGAACATCTGCCCCCACCTCCCTTCCCCTAACTTTCTGGGAAGATGGCCAGGGAGGAAGAGCCCTCTCTCCCCCAAGGCCTTGGTTCTTTTGGACAGACCCACTTGCCAGAAGACCAAAGGGCCTATTTCTGCCAAAGCTGTAGGGACAGGCCTCAGGGCTGGGCATGGAGCCCTGATGACCTCACTGCCCGAGCAGGTGCAGAGGGAGGAGGGGAGTGGGATTGTTTCTGACTGAAGGTCACAGCCTTTAGACACAAGGCCTCCTCCTTTCTCAAACACTGAGTGGCTAGAGACCCAGAGACCAGAGCTCTCTCCCTACATGGTCTTTATGATGGTGGAGAGCTGGGGCTGGGCCAACAGCTGCTGGCAGAGAGATGTAGGTTCTAATTATGATTCCCGTGGGTACCAGCTATGTGGCTGTGAGCAATTCATTTAAGCCACCCAGTCTCAGTTTCATCTTGAAAATGGAGGGAATGGCAGTAATGACCACACAGAGGTGCTAGGGATCAGATGAGACAACGCATTTAAAATGCAGAGCACAGTAGACTGAAGAAATATTCGCTGTCACTGCTGTTACCCTCTCCATGGACAGTGCAGGATTCCTCAGACCTGGTCTCAGCTCGGATCCTCACCTGCTGGGCCACCCAAAGCAGATTGCTTTGCTTCCCTAATCCTCAAATTTTCTCATTTCTGAGACAGTTCGAAACTGCTGCAGCTGTGAGGAAGGGGCTATAGAGGTCTTTAGGATGGGTTGAGGGGGACACTGCCAGAAAGTCCTTTTGCTTCCTCTCTTGGGCCCTGCCTAAGCTGAGCAGCATGGTGCTTTGAGGAACTCTAGACAAACCCCAGGCCCGCTGTTCTCGCTGCCCGACCCCTACCTCCCCACCACGCTCAGACCTGGCTCACCAAAGTTGACTCCTAAGCCACTCGCTCCCTATCTCCTTCCCACTCGACTTTTAGCCTTCTCCATTCAAAGTATGTACAGCCTTCTCCTCGTTCCTCTGATTACCTGCACCCTCCCTGTCCTGGTATGCCCACTACATTTGGGGAAAGAGGAGCAAGGGGAGGGAATGTGAACCCTGTCCCTTTTCCTGCCCCCTATTCTTGCCCTTGTCAGATCCAGTTGTGGATGTAACATCTGGCAGGCAGGACCAGCCCCTGCCAAGAGCAGCATCTCCCCAGCCCTCACCCTATGGTGATGTCACTGTTCTGTGTTTCCACGGCAACCACAGGCTGGGAAGATGGAGAAGAGGAGAGATGAGTAACCAGAAGAGAGCCAATGAGATGGGCCGGCAGCACCGGATGATCTGTGGGGCCATGGGGAGGCGGGGACAGGAAGGCCTACTCAGCACCTTCAGCTGTTCCCTGGCCCTCCCTGCTATCTGCACGCCTCTGCAAGGGGATGTGCTGCTGGCACAGGGAGAGATGCGAGAGGTAGGGGCCAAAGAAGCTGAGTGTGGAGGCTCTACTGACCCAGGGACATAGAGGACGCCCCTCATTTGCCCCTTCAGGGCCTAAGTCAGTGGATGCTGACTCCCCACCCCCGCCCCCCGCCCAGTACCTGCAACTGGAAATTTTTCTCTTTGGCTGGTAATGGGGGTGGGGCTCTCTGACTCTGCCAGCCGTGGAATCAAGTCTTAGACAACCCTTTTCTCCACACCCTCCATACCCTTCCCTTGGTGCCTGGTCTGTTCAGAAGCAGGATCTTTAGAAAGAGGCCTGGTTCTCAGTCCCAAGCCTGCCACTTACTAGCTAAAGATCCAGAGCAAACACCTCCCCCTTCCAAGTCTCCTTTCCTCCCAAATGGAGGTGGGCCATCTACTACCCTAATCAGCCTGAGGATTGAAGAAGATAACATACGGAAAGCCCAACACTCATTAACACTCAATGAATGGTGACCTCCTTCTTCCTTCTGGGTCTCCTCCCCAGGGCAGTTGACCCAGCGGTGCACAAGAATGAGCCCTTTGAGACTTGGAACCAATAGAAGAGGACCCCAGTGAATCTCCATCTCCTCCTGGCTGACATCATTGAGTGCCTTCAGATGCTGCAGAGAAGTTTCCTCATCCTCCCTTTCTTTTGAAAGAATTCATTCATTCCACCAGTCTCATCGAGCATCTGCCATGGCCAGGCCCTGTGGAGACCCAGGGTAAACAGCCGCAGCCTTGCCCTCCCTGAGCTCACAGTGTGGGAGGACTGCGGCCACAGTCAGTGGAATGGAGTGTTCTTTCTGCCACTAGGAAATCGCTTCCTCGTTCCCCAAGAGTTCTAGATACTGTGGATCTGAAAGAACAAATAATGGCAAAACATAGAGGCTTACTCAACACCACTTTGCTTCTGAGAAACCACTGCCCATGGCAGGGTGCTCCCCAGAAGGAGAACAATGGCTCTCCTTGCCTGGGGTGGGGGAGGGGAGAGGGTGCAGCTCCAAGCGGAGGGCAGTCACCCCTGCCCTCCCAGAAACCAACTGACGTCCCTGTTGCTGACTAGATCAAGCTCAAACTCTTTAGCCTCGTCTCATCTGTTGCATTAGTCTACTTTATTACTGAAATCCTATTCCAAGAGGAGTGCCTGGCAGACAGTAGGCATGAATGAATGACCATTGACTAACTGAGTGAGTGAATGAGTATATTGAATGAATGAATGAGTGAGTGAGTGAGTGAGTGAGTGAGTAAATCTATCTACCTCCCCAGCTTTAGGGGCTCTGGAATGAGACTCACTATTCTGCCCCTGTTACACAGTAGCTGTGTGACCTCAGGCAAGTCACAATCTCTCTGGGTTTCCATTTCTCAATCTGCAAAAAGCACAATAGAATTCCTACCCAGCCAGGCCTCCCAAGGACTCTGGGAAGATAAGATAGGGTAAGTTTGGGAATGCAATACAAAGGTTGTTTCTCTTCTCAGCCTACTTCCCTGGCTGCCATGGCCTTCGGCAGAAGACCCACATCCTTTGCCACGGCTCCACAGCCCCCATGCTGTGGCCCCCACCTGCCTCTTCAAGCTCTCCACACTGCAGTCACTCTGCCCTTTATATGCCTTGAAGGGGTGCCATGTTTCTTGCTTGCTGTCTGCCTAGAATACTCTTCCTCCCCAGGCCTTACTCTTTTAGTTAATTCCTGTTCCCTTTTCAGCTCTCAGCTTAAATCTGCTTCCTCCAGGAAGCCCCATCCTCCCTGCCATAGCACGGTGTCCTGCTTTCATGGGGTCCCAATGAGACAGGAAGGGCAGGGCGCAGCCATTAAAGGAATGACACAGCAGTAAGCACCAAGATGGCAAAAAAGTCAACTCCCAATAGACCTTGAGGCCCAAGATGGTAGGAGATTTGACTTCCAGTAGACCTTGAGCTTGAACATACGCCCACTGTAATATATTAGCATGGGAAATGGCCCTCCTGCAGGCGCCATGACAGTTCCAAGGCCAACCATGAAAGGTCAAAAAGAGGGCGGTGGCCCAATTCCTGTGACTCCCCGCCCCCTTCCCCAAAGTAGTTGGAATAATCCTCTCACTTGTTAGCATATTTCATATTTCATATGCTAACAAGTGAGCCCATTAAAAACCAGCAACACCACACCTTGTGGTGTCTTGCTCCCTCACCTTCCAGGATGACCCGTACTCTGTCTACGGATGTGTATCTACTTTTACTTTAACCACCCTCCCCCAACACCTTGTGGTCTCTGGCCTTATGAGATGGCCTATACTCAGTTTATGGAGTGTGCATCTCTCTGAATAAACCTATTTTACTCAACTGTGGCTTACTCTTGAATTCTTTCCTGCATGAAGCCAAGGACCCTCCCAGAGACTTACCTGGGACCTGGGACATGGCCATCTTCTCACACCCCATTTTCCTCTATCATCTTTATTTCAGAGTCTGTTCCCATTATACCTGAAATGGTGTGAGGGCTCCCCACTGTGTCCACAGGGCGTGGTGCAGGGCCGGCATGGATTTGTGGAGTGGACAGTCTCTCTTGAGCAAAGAAAGCTACTTGTCCTCATCAGTGTTCTGTTTGAAGTCTCCCCCTCCCCCAGGGTCCCACCCTTGTCTGTTGCTCTCAACTTTCCTCCTGCCAGAGGCTCCCTTCTCGTGTCCTCTTTCTCACTCCATCCCTGAAGGCCACTAGATGAGGCCCTCTCCTGTGTAGAGTGGGGCCCCAAGTACTCCCAGGGGAAAATTGTCCTTCTGGGCACATAGGTGTAGCCTGAGCCTCCGAGGTAGTGTTACTGGACAAAAGTTCATGTGCCCAATGCACAGTGAGGCCAAACAAACCAGAACATTGGAGTTGGGAGCAAAGAAAGGTTTATTGCAGGGCCAAACAAGGAGGGTGAGCAGCTCAGGCTCGAAAAACCCAAACTCTTAGATGGTTTTGGGGAACAAGTTTTATAGACAAAATTTGGGATGAGTGCTGCAGGGTGCGTGACTTTCTTATCGGCTGGTGGTGAGGTAACAGGGCGGTGTTGCAAGAATCTTGTGCTCT